CTGGCATAGCCACTGAAATAGTCAGCATGGAGCTGCATGAAGAAGGCATCCAGCACGGCGCTGGGCCAGGGGCAGACCAGCACCTCCACCAGCAGCTCTGTGCAGTTGGAGAGGTCGCTGTAGATGCCGTGGGCAGAGCAGGGGGCACTGGCGACCTGGGCCGACCCGCTCTGGCCTTGAGCGTGCGCTTGGCCCAGCTCACACCCAGCCCTGCCTGCAGGCCAGGCTGCAGCCACCACCATGCACCAGCTGCAAGAAACTGGGTGCCCCATGCAGCTCCAGACAGAGAGCTCACAAGGTGCTCAGCGCGGCCAGTGACAGGTAGCGCTTGCAGCTGGTGCAGGCCCTGGGGCCATGTGGTCCCAGCGGCAGCGGGTGCCCTTGGAGGTGGTGGAGATGGCAGCATGGAAGGGGGCCCAGCAGTACAGGGAGATCCAGCTGTGGTAGGTGTCAAGGCAGCGGCCTGGCCCTGCCAGCACCTCCAGCGGGACTGGGGGAAGCCCACGCATCAGCCCTGGGCACCAGGCTGGGCTCAGTGTCACAGGGGATGGGCAGCCTCTGCTTGCTGTCCTCGTCCAGGTAGATGTAATGACGTAGCGCGATGGACGGCACCATGGTGGAAACACTCCCTGCAATTGCAGCCCCCCAGGATGGCGCAGGTGCCGGGACAGCGCTGGCCTGGCCCTGCTGGAGCAACAGGAGCAGGAGGCAGCAGAGCAGCAGTGCCCGGAGCAGCATCCTCCCCTCCAGGGCATGCGGGCCGGGCTGGGGAGCAGTGGCCTGGGGGATTTATTGGCATCCCGGGGGCCCATGGACCCACTGCCTGCACCGGAGTCAATGGCCGGGAAGGCCGGGAAGGAGCTGGGCTGCCCAAGTGGGCCTGACTCAGCAGACACTGCAAAGACATCAGATAAGGCTGCAAGGAGAGCAGGGCTAAGGGTGTCCCAGAGGCTGTGCCACTGCCAGGGGCACGGGCAGGGGCCTTGCCTGGGGAACCTGCACCGCGGGGCTTCGTCTCCCCCAGCACTGACG